ATAATTTGTATAAATATAACATATATCTTAGCTTAGAAAAAAAATCTTCTTATACTTTTGAATATTTTGAGATTAATAATCTTTTTAGATTTAATCTTCTTATCTTTTAATTTCTTTTGACAAAATTTTCTTAGAAGTGAGTCGTATTATAAGTCTTGAGTTAGAGATTTTCAGTTAAATATTAATTATCCTTTTCTTTCTTATTTATATTCTTTATTATTTAAAAGATCTCTCGTCTGTAACAAGTAATGTTATCTATAATAATATAATTAATCCCTTATCACTACTCTGTGAAGTTGATTAATATTATTTAGATTTATAATAAAAAAAAAGTTAATTTTATTAAAAGTTAATCAATAAAAAAAGATTGTTTAATAATCAAATCAATTAAATTAAAAAAAAGATTTCTGAACTTATTCTAGTAGTTTAACAAAATGAACATGTCGTTATCTATCTTTATTAAATTAGTTTCTCCCAACTTTAATTACTTTAAATACATAAAAACCTTTAATAATTCTTCCACTTAATTGAGATATGTAAAGAACATGTGATCTATATTTGAAAGATAATAAATCAATGAAAACGGTAATAATATTATATTTAATTAATAAATTTTGATATTATTATATTATTTCTGATTGTTTAATTGCAAAATAAATTAATTAATTTTTTATAATTAAAATATATAAGAAATTAATTAATTTATTTTATAATTAGAAAAATTTTTAAAATTAAAATATAAATTATTATTTGTATTTTTATATAAAAATAAAAATAATAATTAATAAAATTAAAAACTTTTATATAAAATATATTTGATTAATAAATTTAATATTGTTATATTTTTTTTAATTGTTATTATATAACTAATTTTTGATATATAAAATATATTTAAATTTATAATAAAATATTTATAAAATTTTTTTATATCAAGAATTTATTAATAATTAAGTAAAATTTATTATAAGATGATTTTGAGCTCAACTTTTTATATCAAATTTTAATTGATTTTTCTTATATTAAGAATTTCTTATATTAAGAGTCACTTATATATATTAAATATATATTAAATATATATTAGAGCTCTAAAAATTTCAATTCATTGACTTATATATAACTCATATACATATAAATTAATTAATAAAGTTTAAATTCATATTATTAAATTATATTATATATAAAATTTAGGTTCAAAAAATTCAAGAGCCAACTTATCAGGAGCTCTAATATAAATAAATATATATTGTCAAATTTTTTCATGAATATGATTATAATAGAATTTTATTATAAATATAATTATAAAAAAATGAGTTTATTATAACTAATTTTTGAAAAAAATTATTATAATAATATTTTTATATAATATAATTATAATAAAAGAAATATAAAGAAATTTGATTGTATTTTATAATGAATTAATCTAATTGTAATAATTATTACATGTAATAACTTCAATATTAACCAATTATATACTCAGAATCTTAACTCTAAGTCTAATTCGAATTCTAATTAACCAATTAAAATACAATTATTATAAATAATAGCTATTATAAATATATTTATTTTTTATTCAATTTGATTTTTTCAAAAAGAATTAATCATATAATTTTGACTACTAATTTTAAATATTTCAGTTTTGGTTATGATTATTAATAAATCCAATAATTATTTTTAGTTTCAATAAATTTTTTTGTTAACAAACGTAAAATTGCACAAATTTTCTTACATATTATTATTTCAAATGACTGGCGATTCATTTGTAAAAAATGATGAATTTCTTGTTTTAATGAAACACCTCCAATCCCAGATAAAAGCTGTTATGATGACTAGCTAGTTAGCATAATGGGTATTTTTGTTGAAAGATGCAATCAACACGAACCTTTAAATTTTGTTACAAGTTCGATAAGATACAGAACATAAATAAAACCATCATCCAGTGATAAAATTTCCAATTCTAGCCAAAATTATAACGATCTGTGTATGTATTGTATACGACAATACACTTGTTCTGTATAAAGATAATAATGGGTAACGAGGCAAGCAACCAAAGCTCAACAACTTTCTTTTTAACAAATAAAAATTACGCTGTTGTTGAAATTTCTTATACTATATACATTATTGCATACACAAGTAGGAACCCTCGTCACAATGGTACTTTAGGGTAAAGCACGACAAAATCACATACTTCCTCAATGCCACCTCCACCGACAATTTATCAAACCTGAAAAAGAACCTGGTGAAACTAATGCCAGAGCATTATCGTCGAGACCCGAAACGTATACGGCTGTCGGTGTCGGACGGACTTGGCCCGCCTACGTACACGCCGCTCGATAAAGATAATGAAACGTTGGTGAAGTTGGGGTTGCAGGATGAGCAGGCATTATTTGTTAGTTTTTGGGATGAGGAAGAACGTAGGTTATTAATTATTGGTGTTGATTAGATAATGAATGAGCTTGATTGATTGATTTAATTTTTGATTTGTTTTTTTGGAAGCCAAATGGAAACCAGTACTTGTAGAGTACCCCGATCCAATGGCCGGTGAAGAAAACGATGACGAGGACTCCGACGAATTGGAAAAATTGGAAACTCAGTTGGAAAAAGTGGCCTTGTCACCTTCGTCGTTTGATGGTAGTAATAATGGCAATAGTAATAATAATAGCAAGAAGGGAAAATCAAAATTGCAAGTATTTTTTGTTTATTTTGAAGCCGGGAATTTTTTAATGCAATTAACCGTTTTTTTAATTTTTGTAGACGGAAAAATGATTAGTTGATGGCGGATTGGATTGCATGGTCGTGGTAAGTATATATATATTTTTATATTTTGTTCATTATAGATCAATCAAATTTATCTCGATAGAAAAAAATAGATTAATAAAATAATATAATTTATTGTATTGAATTCAAAACGTCTAACAAGAACTAGAATATAATGTAATAATGTAATTGCAATCCACCTTACACAAAATTAACTTATGTCAAAAAAAAAATCAAAGGAATTATTTTTTATTGAAATATGTCCAAGATATTTTTTCGAATTGATAAATCTCATTTCATTGTCCATCCCTATCATCTGCTATGTAAAACTTTTTTGTTATAACATCGTTATTATCCGAATCAGCTGAAGGGGTTACGAAAGCCAAGACGACTAGAAAATTAGTCTACATAGTTCTACACACTATACACATAAGTTATGACTACTACAACACTATTTCCAGTGCCAGCAGCTGAGCTGTTGTGCCATGTCAGGTTGATTTACCTTATCGTGCGCGATTTTTTATTGAATTCGGTGATTTGTATGTATTGGAGTGTTAGCGCCTTAACACGATTAATGACACGGATCCTCTCTCATTTGATACTACCACAAGATCAGTATTTGTTAAATTGTTCATGATTTCATGATTTGCATTTGATGATTGGAGGTTTGGAGTCCCCTACCCCATCGGGTCTCCTGCCTTTAATCCACGTCGGGCACGTGTTAAATCTAGAGAAAGCATAGTCGATTTTCACCCATCCCGACACTTTTTACGAACTATTTGCTCGGCCTCCTCTTTGTTCTGTGTGATTGTACTTATATAAAATTGCCTTCCAACATTTTTAATTAGTGTTCCAAGATGGATTTAAGCACCCGTTTTCCGTAGGTTAAAATTTACGCCTCTCCATTGGTTTGTTCTTCGAACAGATTATCGGATGGACTACGCTTTAACTGATCCCCTTTAACGTTAATTTCCGTGATCACGTGAGCGTGAATTTTGTTGGGAAAAGGATGCGCAAATTTTTGATCAGCCCGGAAAACAAATCCGAAACAAAATCTAATTTGGAGCTAATAAAAAAGGCAATTTTAAATATAAAATCAACCTTTAATAGTTGCCGGAAAAAACCCGAAAAAGTTTTAGCCGGATATATTTACCGTGAAACACAATTTTTATTTGGACGGCTTAGGGTTGAGCTAAGATTATATATAAAACTGCCTCCCTGACATTAATTAGTGTTTCGCATTTTTCATCTTGTGTCGGATTTGTTTTGCCGGCAGATCAAAAATTTGCGCCACCTCATTGGTCAATCCGGCTACCACTTTTTCCGGGCAACGCTATGGTTGTTTAGTTACCGGTACATTATCATCAGGAAACTGAGCACAGATTCTACTATTGCACCAACCGTCCAACGCGTAGCGATAATGGGAGTGACAAATATTAGCTAATATTCATTTTATTATAGGGACCCCTGAGCTTTCATTATATTAACACCTGAGATTTGGCCATCACCTAGAATATTTGTCACTCCCTAACGTGTTGATACCGTGATAGGTCTGAGACACTCATTGACACTTGCCTCTACACACTGCAGCACTGCATCGGCTACCCCGCTCCGAGCCTTTTATAGCACGAAGCTCCTCTGGGCATCCCCAACCCGAAACACGAGGGTGCTGGGATGCCCAATCATCTATGAAGTCATCACCCCTCCCCAGTGTTGTCACGGGACAGCTTTGGACATGCCTTTGGACAATCTTGGACATTTTTGACAAAAAAAAATCTAATTTACTCAAGTTAACCTGTTTGAACACTCTAATTAAAAATGTTTAGAATTTCTCGTTGTATATAATCATATATTTTTTATTTAATTTTTTAATAGTACAAGAGTTTGGACACTTGGACATTTGAACGTTTGGACATTTGGACAGTCAAAAAAGTGCTTGGACATCCAAAATCTACAACCTGCCCCTCCCCCCACAGGGTGATGAGATATCCACACCCATTGTATATACTTAGCCCTCAGCAAGCTACATGCAAATATGTGGGCTCAGCAGAAGGATTATAACAGTATTCACCTGGAAGATGATCCACTTTAGCTGGACTTACTCGCGACTGCTGTTGGATGCGGAGCCGTTTCTCAAACACTCTCCTACTATAGGACCGTGCGAATCGAAAAATTGGACTTAATTACTGGCGGAGAGTTTGAATAATTAAATTTGATAAGCATCTTTTTTAGCTTCGTGATAATTTTGAATAGGTATAAACACGAAAATAGTTTTTTTCAGTCAACTCTTATTTTGCCACCAAGCTCGATGTTGTCCGTCGTGATTATTACGACATTGCTGTTCCAAGTTGTTACTATTTCTTTTTCGAAGTTTAATATCCAAATAGTATGAAGTCTTCCGCTATGAATTTTATTTTGTCAAATCGATATGCAAAACCGTCAATTTTATTGTCAAGGGTAAAATATCAGATCGAGGGCATATTTTTAAATTATTACATTTAAGGTTACGTTTTGGACAGTATGATATTGGACTGAAATAATTTACTCCGATTGATAGAATATTGCTCGAGTCAAGAATATTCACTTTCAATCAAACATTCGATCATGCACGCGTCTATTTTATTTCAATTTCTGTTACACGCGTAATAAGCTTCAGCCAACATTGTAATTTTTCTAAAGAAAGATATTTTAAATGCACGAGAATCCAATCTAATTGATCAAAAATAAGAAAATAATTTTTTGGGATTAAGGTTGCTTAACCGGTTAAACATTTAATAATAATAATAATTGTGGGGAATCATGATGAAAAACGGATTATGGTGAAAATTTTGTCCAAAATTGTGCAGATCATGAGATCATTTGGCCGGAATTATCGACAATTCTTATAATAAAAGAGCAATATTTTGAAAATAATGATATATGCATAAAACATAAGGTAAAAGGGGGTATTATGGTGAAGTAAAGAAAATATGCAATATCTCGATATCCAGCGATCGGTAATATCACCATTTGCTTCGTCATGTCTAAGCGAATGGTTGTATTTTCATGTGATTTCGATCGCTGGATCTCGAGATATCGCCTTGACAATCACCGTATGTTAGATCTTCGCCCCATATATTAGATCTTCACCAATTTATATTAAATTTTGACGATATCTCGATACCCTGCGATCGAAATCACATGAAAATATTACCATTCGATTCATCTAGACATGACGAATTGAATGATCATATTTTCATACGATTTCGATCACAGCGTATCGTGATATCGCCCTTTAAATTGGCTAAAATCTGACATATGATGACTTTCAGTGCGATATCGCATGAAAATACCACCATTCGATTCGTCTAGACATGATGAATCGAATAATAGTATTTTCATGCGATTCAGATCACTAGTTATCGAGGTATCAACTTTAAACCTTTTCACCCTTTTACAAAACAGATGTATCTAAAAAAAAAACTCTTCATATATTTATAAAATAGCTCACCAGCTTCCAGTTTATGAAAGCTAATTTCAGTTTACTTAATTTTTCATAGAGTAATAGCATATATCGCCATTAATTTGAGACTGGTCATAAGTCACATGGTTGAGCAGAGCCGACTACCCCAGCGTGATCTACAAAGATGCACCAATCAGAATAGATTAATTTATTAGCCAATCAATCATCATCCCATTCGATGTTTCGATTGTTATGTGGGTTGGCTAGTCGATTTAGGATATGTAAAAGACTATTTGTTTCACTTTAGTTTTTCTTCTCTTGCTACTTGAAATGCACGGTAAACCTTGACTCCTTTTGCGTGGTGATTATCTATCTATAAGATGTTTGATAGTTTTCTGATATTGTTACTACT